GGGGGGGGTGTGTTGGGAGGTTTGCTGTTGCTCAGGGGAGCTTCTAGGGGCCGTGCAGGCTCTTCGGGTGCTAGGTCGCACCCGTGCATTACGCGAGTGGGTAGCCGTGGAGGCTGATTGTGCCATTTGGCTTGAGCGACAGGGAGCCACAAAGTTTGTGGTCCACTCCCGGTGAGACCTAAGGCCAGAGCAGGTTCTTAGGTGACTCCATCCGTTGCAGGAGTTGCACCTAACCGAAGTGGAGTTCGGGTGGAGTCGATTCTGGCAAAGAAAGCAGAAGTAAATTTCAGGTCCGGGGTTGGGCTCTACGCCCGCCCGGAGAAGAAGGATGCGGAGCAATCCGGCTGCAAGGTATGGCTCCATGGACGGATAATGATTAATGGGTATCGCCGATCTAGACGGGGTTAGATCGCCGAAACAACAGCCCTTGGTCGGGTGAAACCCGAGTCATTCCGGTACGTAGAACCGGCTGTCGTGGGTCGGAGTTAGTTGTTGTTGTTGTAGCGGGGTCGGTCCACAGGGACGACGCCGTTAGGGATGTAGGGTTTTCCTGGCATGCGAAGAGATGTTTCGAGTCGTGAGGGGTCTCTCCGCATGCCGGACATTCATTCGGCACATCCGCGTTTAGCCTACTCAGGTAAGAGTTTAGCCTGCTGCAGTAGCCAGAGCGAAGTTGGGCTATTGTTATTCTAGTCTCCCGAGGCAGATGGAGCTCCGTCGCACAAGTCTAGAGTCTACATAACTCGAGACTGAGTCCCTGTGAATGCCGTTCAGGCCCTGTCGGTATGCTGACGGTCCCAGAGGCTGCTTAATGAACCTCTGGACTTCGTCCGTCAGTTCATATAGATACCTCCTGACGTGCCTTGGCGAGGGCTCCTCTGCAAGCAACTGTCTGTTTGGGTGGCCACATCTGTGGCTCCCAACCAGAAACTGCTTGCAGAGCATCGTGTTATGCTCCCTAATTGGGAGCATTTTCGCCTCATCATGGAGGTGGTGTTCTGGTGACATCAGGAGGCATCCGGTCGCTGTGCTGAGTGCTGTGTTTTGTACTGTCTGTAGTTTAAAACCGGCCGGCCTATTGCCTTGTATGTTGCCAGCAATGTTTCTTTGTCTTTGCCCCAGGTGCTGCCGGCTAGCGACTTGAGGGCTTTTTTGCGGCTCTGTACTTTGTTGTTGTTGTAGCGGCTACAACAACCCCGCCCAGGACGGTTGGTATCTCAGTCGTTGTCGTCAAGT